GATGAGACGCAGAGCGTGGTGCGCGCCTTGGCGCCCGCCTGCCGAATCACCGGGATCAGCACCGTCTCAACCTGCGCCACAGGCGGCGGCGGCAGCGGCAGCGGCGGTGGAGCGGCGGCAGTGCTGGGGTCGGTACGGAGTCACAGGGCCCAGGCTGTGCCCAAAACCTGCGCCCGCAGCGCAGGAGCACGGCCCGCGAGGCCCTACCACCACACACCACCTACCCCGCCCCGCCTCGCCCCGATTACCACGGCACGCCCACGCCGCCCCCCGCCCACGCCCACCTGCCCGCCCGCGGCCGGCCCGTGCGCCAGCCTGAACACCATCTTGCGGGTGCCGTCTGCGGCGGAGTGGATGGAGTGCAGGCGGAGGCCCGCATCAAGCGTCGCCAGCGCCGCCACCTTGTCCCGAAACGCGCGGCTGAAGCCGTTCTGCACCCGCTCCACCCCCGCCTCCTCCAGGCTGCGCACCCACTGGCGGTCGGCGTACATGAAGCGCCAGAGCTGCAGCGCGCGGCGGGGGCCGTCCTCGCCTGCGGGGCGGCGGGAGGCGCGGCGGCGGCGGCGGCGGCGGGCGTGGGGTCTTTGCCGGGCGGGCGCGGGGTGGGGGTGGGGTCACGAGGGGCAATGGCGGCGTCGCAAGGAAGGTGGGCGGCTGCCACAGAGGCAGGTAGCTATGCAGGCGAGCAGATGTACGGGATGGCATGTGGAGGCAGGGTGGGAGGCTGGTAGGGCAGGCAGGCCTCCCTGCTCACCAATGGACTCGCACCACGCCTCCAGCTCCGGCAGCCGCAGGTTCTTCAGCACCAGCCTCCCCTCCTCATCGTAGAAGCTGTCTGGGAAGCGCAACTCGCCCTGTGGCGCGGCAGCCGCCGGCGCCGCGTGCTGCTGGTCCCTGACACGCGTGCTGCTGTCGTGCTCGGCGGTGGCGGCAGCAGCGGCGGCGGCGGCCAGGTCTGGCCGGCGCGCCTGCAGATCACAAGCACGGCGCTACGTCGGCATGTCCGTTCTGCAACGCAGAAACCAGGGGCAGAAGCGACAGGCGCGGCATGCGGCTGGCCACTGTGTGCCCCACCTGCTGCCAGCCCCACGGAGTCCTAGCGACAGCACCAGCGGCGCAGCACAATTTCCCTCGCTGCCTGGTGGCCGCAGTGCGTGGAGACAGCAGCTGCGACACCGACCAGGCCGCCGCCATGGTGCTATTGGGGCTGCACAGGAGGACGAGGCTGCAGGCCAAGCGGTGCAGTGTACCGGGGTGTCTGCAATGCCTTATGTATTTCGCCTGGAGCCCGCACTGCCGCCCCACGTCAGCCGCCGCCGCGGCGTCATGTTGACATCACTGCACCTCCAGCACCCCCCCTTCCACATTGCAAGCTATGTTCATGCCAACTGGCAGCCCCAGATGGGACATCCCCTTGCACCAAGTCCTGGCGTGAGCGGGCGCCGCCCGCTTGCCCCTGGAGCGGAATCGCCGGGTGCCTGCAGCTCAGTGTCGGCGGTTGCTAGGCCACGACCCGGCTGCATGGCGAGCCCTCACAACCCCGTGTACGTTTCCCGTCCCATGCATGGGAGTGTTCCTGCCAGCTCAGCTGTGAGCGGGGCCATGGCCGGCCAGATGGCCACGCGTTCTTCGGGCATATAGCAAGCTGCATTTGCCCTCATTTCAATCAGCTCTGTCGCTTCAACCATCCCAGACTACTCTCCGAGCCCAACAACCCCTTCCGCAAGTTCCCCCACCCCCGACCATGCGTGCGCCGCTGAGCTTGCTGGCGCTCTGCGCAGCCCTGCTGCTGGCCACCGGTGAGATCACCAACCGCATTGGTCGGCCGATACCCTTGTGCCGCGGGCATGTGCGCAGCATGTGCACATGTGTACCCTTGTAATAAGGGTGCGGGATATGCACGCTAGACCGGCAGCACACTGGAATACGGGGGTGCAAAATGGATTTGTACAATCGCCGCTGGCGCCTCGCCACCGCCACACATACCGTCGCTGCAGTGGCGGCCCCGAGAAGTGCAAGCGCAGCACAGGCCTGAAATGAAACTCGATACCTTGATGTCTTGCAGGCGCTGCCGCCAAGTGCACAGAGAACACAGAGGGGTGGGACGACCTGAGCCTGGGCGGCTGCAAGACCTGCTCCGCCGACAACTCGACGTGCGAGGAGTGCTGGCCCCGCTTCTCGCTCAATGCCGAGGGCTCCTGCGTGGAGTGCAATGGCATGGGCGAATACGGCGCCTACTGCACCCGGTGCGACCCCGAGGTGAGCCCCCTTGGGCCTCTTGAGCTTCCAATCAAATCAGTCCGACAGTGCCTGCCCGCCCCTCCCTGCTGCCCGCCATGCCACATGCTCGGGCACCTGCTGACGGCCCCCTGCTGCCGCTGCATCCCCCCCACCCACGCCCGCCTGCCGCAGGACCCCTCCTTTTGCCTGGAGTGCCGCGGCGACGACGAGGGCAACCTCGACTTTGGCCTCTACGGAAATGAGGAGGGCAAGTGCACGCCCTGCCCGCTGGAGGGCTGCCAGGAGTGCGCGCCCCTCAACGGCACCTGCCAGTACTGCCGGGTGAAGCAGGGCCTGATCGACGGCAAGTGCCAGGTGCATGGTACTGCTGGCGCCAGCTGGTCCCACCATCGCAGCCAGACCGCCGATGCCGCCAGTGTGCTCGCTTGCCTTCCTTCCCGTGCCCCCCTCCCCCTGTGTGTGCCTGCCCGCCCGCCTGCCCGCCTGCTCTACCTGCCTGCGCTGCCCGCTGCTCCTCTCCCTCAACCCTCGTTGCCTGCCCTCCCCGCCACCCCCCACCTGCAGGCATGCGAAGACGATAGCGCCCTGTTCTGCAACGGCGGCGTCTCCACAGAGTGCTACTCCGGCTCCTTCCCAGACACCTCCACCGGCACCTGCCAGGCCTGCCCCGCCAACTGCGACCGCTGCGCCGGCGCCGGCGTGTGCGACGTGTGTGACATCGGGTTCGGCCCTGACGCCGCCACCGGCGCCTGCGTGCCCTGCGAGAGCGAGGGCTGCCAGTCCTGCTCCTCCCCCGGCGTCTGCGACATGTGCGAGTACTTTGTGGGCTACTGGCTGGACGGCGGCGCGTGCCAGAAGTGCGCCGTGAAGCACTGCGCCCAGTGCGACGGAGACGTCGACTTCTGCAACGTGAGGCCGGGGATGGGCGCTGGGGGTGCTGCAGCGGTGGGACCGGCCGACGGCAGAGGTGGTGGGTTGCCAACCCACAGTGATTCCTGCGCTGAGACACGCCGCCTCCTCACCCTGCCTGCCTTGCCTGCTGCCCTGCCGCAGATCTGCAACCACCCCAAGGGCGAGTACGGGGCCAACCCCACCACCGGCGCATGCGACAAGTGAGACTGGCCCGCGCTGCTCTCAAGCATGCTCGCCCTTGCCAGTGCCTGCCTGCGTCCGCTGCCTTGCCTGGCGGGCCCGCGCCGGGCCCCGTCCTGCCGCGCCGCCCCTCATCGACTGACCCCTCGCCTGCCTGCCTCGCCTGCCCGCAGGTGCGCCGTGGCCGACTGCGCCAACTGCGAGGACGACTACGCCCGGTGCAGGCTCTGCCGCGACGGCTTCTACTATGATGAGGCGGCCAAGCAGTGTGTGGCATGCAGCACCCTTGACCCCCACTGCACAGACTGTGGCGCCATGGGATACGGCCCCCAGGAGGGCGCGCCCACGTGCACCGAATGCGGGCAGGGCTGGGAGGTGGCGGGGGAGTACACCGACGTCAGGTGCATCAAGTCCAAGGACTGAGCGGCAGGCGGCCACGCCACGCTGCGCGCCCGATGAGTCGCGGGTGCAGGCGGCCTGGCATCGCGCCCACGTGTGGGCATGATATGTCTATGAACGACACTATACTGTTCTAGCATTTTGCCGTATCTCCATGATTCGTCACGATTGGTTCCTCACCTGATTTTCCTCCTACCTGGTACTCAGCACTGTTTTCAGCGGCAGCATGGAGCGGTCAACCTGCCGGCACCCCTGCACCGCCCTTTTAACCTTCAGCTCTATTGAAAACAAGGGAGTTGAGCTGGATATCTGCATCTAGAATCACTGGTGCCACCGTCAGTCATTCTTGGATTCACGCATCAAAGAAAGCCTGACGGCCCGGTGCGGCGCCGCTCAGCGGCAACACAGCACGCCCAGCAGGACAGCAGACACACATCCCGACGCCCGCCGCACATCGCGATCGTTTCCATCGATGATACCAGCCCTGCTGCCGGCAAGGGTGCCAGCGTGTGCGCCGCTTCCTGTGTTGCTGTCGTGTGCAGCGCGTTTCAGAGGCGGCTGGCACCTTGAAACCTTGCGGGGCAGCCTGTGGAGGAGCAGGAGACCTCGCGCCGGCTCCTTCTCTCCCTCTGGCCCGCCGGTGGGCACCCGTCCCGCCGCCCGCCGCCCTCACGCCGCCGCCATGCCGCTCGACACTGGGCCAGACCCCTCCTCCCTCTCCAACTTCCAAGATGCGGCAGTGACGCACTCCCACATTGAGCTGGACGTCGACTTTGAGACCCGGGTGCTCAGCGGCTTTGTGGAGGTGGGTGCTGCATCGCCGCCACCGGCCGCCCGGCCCCTCAGCGTCCCGCGATGGCGGGGAGCGCCCCGGCCCCTGAAGCCGGGCGCCGTGCCGCTCTGCGCGCTGCTGCAGCACACCGCGGTGGTGCGCACGGATGGCGTCGCTGAGCTGGCGCTGGACACCTCGCAGTTGACCATTGAGGAGATCACGGTCAACGGCTCGGGTGAGGAGCGCTCCTTACTGCTCCTACTCTGTGCCTGCCTTGTTGTGCAGCGGTGCTGACGTCTTCTTTCTGCTCGTCGGCCCAAGCAGCCTCCGCTTTGAGCGCCTGCCAGCCAACCCGCCGCCGCGCGGCGCCGCCACGGCCGCCCCTGCCGCTGCAGCGGCACGGTACCGCGTGTCGGATCCCCACCCAGTACTGGGCAGCCGGCTGGCCGTGAGGCTGCCCGCTGGGGTGCGGGCGGGTGAGGTGGTGGCCGTGGCCGTCCGCTACTCCGCCCCGCCTGGGGCCACCGCTGTGCAGTGGCTGCCGCCGGAGCAGACCGCGGGCAAGCGGCACCCCTACCTCTTCACCCAGTGCCAGGCCATCCATGCCAGGAGCATCCTGCCCTGCCAGGACGCCCCCGCAGCCAAGTTCACGTACACGGCGGCGGTGCGGGTGCCACGGCAGCTGCGGGCGCTGATGAGCGCGGTGCCGGTGGAGGGCGAGGGGCGGGACGACGGCGACGGCGGTACCGCGGACCTGCGCCACGTGGCGCCCAGGCCCGGGACCAAGGTGTACCGCTTCAGGTGAGGTCGCTCGCGGTGGGGGCAGGGCCAGCGGCTGATGCCTGCTGGGTGGACGGCGCTGTCAGGTGGGCAAGCAGGCTGGCGGGCGGGCTGGGAGGCGCGGGCTTGCGGCTGCCAGGCGCGGCCTGCGGGTGCACCCCAGCTGCCGGGCGCGTCCCTGCAGGCAAGGCGTGCCCATCTCCTCCTACCTGCTGGCGCTGGCAGTGGGCAATTTGGAGAGCCGGCAGCTGGGGCCCATCTCTGCTGTGTGGAGCGAGCCGGAGATGGTGGAGGCCGGCGCCTCTGAGTTTGCCGGTGGGTGGGCGGGGAGGTGGCGGCAGCGGGGACGCAGCCTGGCGGCGGCTGGCGGACTGCAGGGGGCGGGGAGCGGGTGGTGGAGAGCAGGCATGCAGCCTGGTTGTGTGCAGCACACGTGCGCCACGGCTGGTGTCGTCAATTGCCTTGTGCTGCAGAGACCCCCCAGTTTCTGGAGGCCGCGGTCGAGCTGGCGGGGCCCTACCTGTGGGGCCGCTACGACCTCCTCCTCCTGCCCCCCTCCTTCCCCTACGGTGGGCGCTCGGCTGGGTGCACGCTCTGCCAGCGGCACGCGCGCGGCGTGGTCGCGCTGCCGTGCCGTGTGGCCTCCCCGCTGCACCAGCAGGCGCGGCGACCTGGCCTCTGTTGCATCATTGAGTCGGCTGCCTGCCCACCACCACCATTGCTCTGACCCTGCCTGCGCGCCTGCCTGGCGGCGTGTGCAGGCGGCATGGAGAACCCGTGCCTCACCTTTGTGACCCCCGCCCTGCTGGCCGGAGACAGATCGATGACCAAGACCGTGGCCCACGAGATAGCACACAGCTGGACGGGTGCGCCGCGCTGCGCTGCGCCACGCTGCGCCACGCTATACCACGCTGTGCTGTGCTTGCCATGCTGCGCTGTGCTTTGCTGTGCCGTGCTGTGCCGCGCTGTGCTGTGCTGTGCTGTGCCATCCCATGCCGTGCTGTGCGGCTCACCGAACCGCGCTGCCCCGCCGCCCGCCCGCCTGCCTCCTGGCGCCTGCAGGCAACTTGGTCACCAACTCCGACTGGCAGCACCTGTGGCTCAACGAGGGGCTGACTCGCTTTCTGGAAAGAAAGATCCTGGGGCGGCTGTATGGGGAGGAGGTGGGCCGGGTTCGCTGTGTGTGTGGTCGCCCGCTGCTGGTGGTGGTGGTTATGGCGACATGTATTTGTTTTAAGGGTGGATGAGCTCTTGGAGGGGCCTGGTGGGGGCCTTGGCTGGCAGGTTGCCCCCCGGGGGGCTGCTCCAGCCACATCCCGCCTCCCTTGCCGCTCCCGTCGTTGCGCAGATGCTGCAGGTAGCGGCCTGCTGACCCCTCTCTCTGCCTGGTGCCTCCCCGCCTCCCCGCCTCCCCGCAGATGTACCAGCTGCAGGCATCCATCGGAGCCCTCATCCTCAAGGAGACCGTGCAGAAGGAATTTGGGGAGGGGCACCCGCTGACGGCGCTGGTTCCAGACCTGTCGGGTGGGGTGGACCCCGACGCCGCCCTCTCCCAGATCCCCTACGAAAAGGGCTTCTACTTTGCGGCGAGTGGGCCCGGGGTGTCTGTGCGTGCCTGCAGCGGCGGCGCCGCCCGCGCCGGCGGCAGCAGTGCACAGGCGGCTGGCGGGAAGGGGCGGGGCGCGCCGGTGGCGGCAAAGCAGCTTATTGTACGGGTGCCTGCGGCCGCGGCGCGGGTCCGTCTGGTGTGCCATCCCAGCCCACCAACCCTGGCACCACCACCTGCTGCCCCTGCTGCCCCCCTGTCGCAGCACTACCTTCAGGAGCTGGTCGGTGGCGCCGCCGCCTTCCAGCCCTTCTTCCGAGCCTACCTGCAGCGCTTCCAGTCGCAGCCGCTGGGCAGCGAGGACTTCCGCGCTTTCTTCTGCGACCACTTCCAGGCCAACGAGGTCATCGCCCAGATCGACTGGCAGGCGTGGCTGTACAGCCCAGGTGGGGAGCATGCTGGTGGGGAGCGTGCAGGCGGGTGCTCTCGTCGGCCGCGCCTCCGGCATGCCCACCCCCGTGTGTGTGTGTGTGTGCGCGCGCGCGCACGCGCGCCTGCAATGCCCCTGCACCCCACCGCAGAAAGCTGGCGACATTCATCTCCCTGCCCTGCCTGCAGGCATGCCGCCCGTGACCAACCGCTACGACGAGAGCCTGGCGGCAGGGGCGTACGCGCTGGCGACGCGATGGCACACGGCGGATGTGCTGGGCATCGGCGGCGGCGGCCCCACCGCCGCCTCCCCCGCCGACATCGAGGGCTGGTCCTCCACACAGGTTGGGGGCTGTGGCAGGCGGCAGGCGGTACGGTACTGCTGGGTCACGTCAGCGTGGCTGCAAGGGAGCAAGGGGCGCCGCACCCTGCCGGGGCTAGCCTGCCCCGGAGCCAGGCAGGGCGGCTCAGAGCCGCGTGCTGAGCTGCGCAGCTCGTGCCTGCATGTGCCTCCCTGGGCCGGGGCCTGACTGTGCCTGAGCGGGCCAGCCCCCTGGGCCAGCCCCCCTCCCGGGCCAGCCCTGAGAGCAGCGTACCCTGTCCCTCCCACCAACCAAATTGTGCAGCTGATTGCTTTCACTGACAAGCTGGGTGAGCTGCGGGCCATGCAGCCGCTGCACCCCTCCATCACACGCAGGTGATGCGCGCGAGCAGCGCAGGGTGGGGGGTGGCGGGGGTGGGTGGGCAGTGGTGGCATGGCACGCCCTTGCAGCTTCCTCTGGACTGTGCAAACAGGAGCCTGCCACGCCTGCCGCGCCTGCCCTGCCTGCTGCGCCTGACGTGCAAGGCTGGGAAGCGCCGTTCTCTTGCCGCCGCATCCAGCCACGCCGCTTTGGCTCTGCCCCTGCCCTGCCAGCCTCAGCCTGCTGTGCCTGCTGTGCCTCCTGCCCTGCCTGCTGTGCCTGCTGTGCCAGGCTGGACGAGCTGTACGGCCTGGATGTGCGGCGCAACTCGGAGCTGCGCACCAGCTGGTACCAGCTCTGCATCAACGCAGGTGGGCGCTCCCGCCTGCCTTCTCCTCTCTTTCCCCTTCTGCCCCCCACTGACAGAGCGAGCTTTTGAGTGGCGCTGGCCTTTCTACATGTCTGTGTGAATGGGGGGTGCACCCTCTGCAGGCGATGATGCCATCCTGCCTCATGTCGAGGCTTTCCTCCAGGAGCAAGGGCGGGCACGGTGAGGGCGGGGGGAGAGCCAGACCACCCGGCCCGCGGCATTTGCTGCGCCCTGCTTCAGCCGCCCGCGCTGCGCTGCCACCACCACCCTACCACCCCCCCACGACACGCGCACCACCCCGCCCGCTCCCCAGGCGCCCGCCCCCACCCGCAGCACCCTGCCGCCAGCCCCACGCCCTCCTCCTCCCTGCCCTGCAGCTACCTGCGCAAGCTGTACCGCGCGCTGCGGCGCAGCAGGAGCAGCAGGGCGCGGCAGGCGGCGCTAGACATCTTCCAGCACCAGCGGGCGGCCTACCACCCCATCGCAGTGCGCCTCGTGGCGGCAGATCTGGGGCTGGCTACTGCCGACACGTGATGCAGGCCTGGGCTGGGCTGGGCTGGGCTGGGCTGGGCTGGGCGTGCTGGCTGGCGGCCACGGCACGGCGGCGCTTCCAGCACCAGCGCAACAGCGGCGCCGCCGCGCGGCAGCGGCACGAGAGTAGGGAGGCAGCCTTGCATGCTCTGCCCTCACGTGTGGCGCGAGGCTCTGCTTGATGCATTGCTTACTTGTGACGATCGTGCAACGCTGGGTGTGAGGCTGCCAGCAGAGCGGCCCCCAGGTGGGGCTGCCTCCTCACTTCTGCAGCGCCGCCAGCTCTGCCAGGCCCTTGCTGCCCCGCTTGCGCCGCACCTTGCCCGCCGCCACCTTGCGCGGCCCTGCGGTCCAGGCGGTGCAGGGGGGGAGGCAGCAGGGCAGCACAGGGGGCGCTCAGGGGCGAGCAGGGCGCGGGCGCGGGGCAAGAGAGGCAGCTCAGGAGTCGCCACGCAGCGAGGCGCCTGACCCAAGAGCCCTTCTTTCCGTGTGTGTGACCAGGGGCACAGGCGTGGCCCCTACACCCACGGCTGCCGCCAACCACCTCCCACAGCCACCTCCCTCACCACCCAGCCCGCGCGCCCTCCCTCCCTCACCCCTCACCTGCCCTCCCTCCCTGCCCTCCCAACCACCGCGCCCGCGCCCACCTGTGCTTCCCATCACCGCCTCCATCATCTCCTCATCGCTCATCTGGGGCATGCCTGCCACGCCTGCACACACACGCACAGGCACACCACACACACATGCACACACACGGGTTCAGCCATGACACACACACACATGCGGCGGGTTCAGCAGCGGTGCAGCCATGCAGTCACAGGGCCGGAGGGCCGCAGGGCCAGGCACGCGGGCCGGCCGGCGGCTGGGATGCTGGGCGGGAGCTGCGCTGGCGTTGAGCTGGCGCTGAGCTGGCGGCCAGGGCTCACCCTGAGAGCCGCCGCTGAGAGCCATCATGCGACTCAGAGTCTGCATCTGCAGACGGCGGCAGCGGGGAGGAGGGGCGGGGCCCGAGCAGCTGGTGTGCTCAGCAAGCGGCAGCAGGCGGCAGCCCAGGCGCAGCAGGGGGCGGCCCGCAGCACGCCAGCACCAGCAGCCCTGGCCGGGCAGCAGGCTAAAGCACTACGCCCACCCGCCGCAGAGGCAGGGAGCCGATCCAGCCCGAGCTGTGCCTCGACTCATCGCCGCCAGCCGACCCGGCCCACGCCCCGCCATCCCCCCCCCCCCCCCAACAAAAAAACCCCCCCGCACACCTGCATGCGCAT